CTCTCTCTCTCTCTCTCAATCTCTCTCTCTCTCTCAATCTCTCTCTCTCTCTCAATCTCTCTCTCTCAATCTCTCTCTCTCTCTCTCTGTCCCTCTCTCTCTCTCTCTCACACACACACACACACACACACACACACACACACACACAGATACACTCAAAGTTCATTTACAACCAGTCCTTGCCAGGTCATGTATGAAGATAGTGTCTGAATGTTCATGTTGAAAGTTATGCACCGAACACAACTGTCCCACAACATGTCGCATGGCACGGACGGGGACCTGGAACCCTCAGATGCAGAATTCACCCTAAGCAGAAGTGAGGCTGATGAATTTTCCCTTTGGGATCCCCCCGTTGCCGGATACTGAGCAGTGCCTGCTCCTTGAACGTTGTGTGAGTCCGATTTTCTATCCGTCTCCCCATTAAAACGTGTACTGTTCTGTGCTGCGCACTGTGGTACGGCAAAGTTGGAAGGAAAACTCTGCTTTCTACTAATTCCATCTTCCTGTCCTCCACCCACTCCCTGGCTTCACAGAGACGGATGCTGCTTGCAGATACCAATACCTGCAGTTTGGAACTCTACCATTTTATTTCTCTTTCTGATCTCATGAAGGTGTCCTGTGTTTCTTTCAACAGTGCCTCAGCCAAGAGGAAAGACCAAGCTGTCCGGGCCTCCACCCTTTCCTCCTCTCTGTCGCTGAATTGGAAAGTTAGTTGATGTGGAATAATTTTGCCTGTTCATTTAAAAAAGTGATTGTGTCCTGTTCCTAGCGTCCATGAACAACAAATGCATTCACTTGTCTATCCCATATGATTCCTTTCGTGCAGAGAACCCCAAGGCACAGGTAATATCCTAAAACAAGGGAAGGTCTGTTTATGAGCTGCATTGTGTTCTTACCCTCCACATTGATAGGGTGAAGCCCTAAGCTCCAGCGCCTCAGGACAGGAGACAGGGCCATTAAAGAGCACCTAAGATAAGGCTGCCAGGGTGCGTCCTAATCCAATCTGACTGGCATCTCACAAAAGAAGAAATTTAGGGCTGGGGCTGTAGCTCAGCGGTAGGGGGCGTGCCTAGCCTGCACGAAGACCCATGTGAGGACACAGCAAGAAGGCGGCCATCTGCAGGTGACAGAGAGGGTCTTCGTGAGAGGTCAAACCCGCCAGCACCTTGGTCTTGGACTTTAGAATTGTGAGAAAATCCGTTGCGGTTGCTGAAGCTGCCCACGCTGTGATACTTTATTACAGCAGCCGGAGCAGACAAACACAGCCTCCAGCGCTACAGTTTCAGACACCGATTTAGCCACTGTGATGTTATGGGAGGGGGAAGGGAGGGAGAAGTTTCCTCACTGTCCATATCCCTCTGAAGTGCAGGCTGGCTTGACAGATGACTCAGTGAGCCGGGCCTCGGGTGTGGTCCCTGTCACCTCCCCGTGCTCCTCTCTTCAGGGTGTCATTTCTGAGGGTTGCAAGTCCTTCCGCTCAGGAACGAGTCTGAGGCCAGGCAGTGCCCATCTGCTGAGACTCCAGACTTTTGCAGATGCCTGGGTAGAAATGTTGCAGCAGAAAATGCTCCCCCGCCAGGTACTTCAGTTGCTTAGTTGCCCAGGTAACAGTTCCTGTTCCAGTTGCTTCTGTCTCTTAGAAATGGCTGATCACTGTGATGCACAATGTATAAACCGATCCCCACCGACAAGCCATTCTGCCTCTGTACATCCTGCTTGCTTATCCCATAGAACCCCTACACCACCAGGGATCGGGTCCTGATATTTTGGGAGTGATCCCAATCAGTGCCTGTCGATGTAAATAAATCTGCCTCCAGATCCTGGGTGTCGTTTCTGTGTTTCAGCTTGCCGTAGCAGTGTGTGGGAGCCTCGGGTGGGATCGCACTGTGGACTTGGGACTGTGCTGAGGAGGAGGGTGGGGAGAGGTGTGAACAGCAGGAGCTAGGGAGGAAGGGAGAGAGGGAGGGAGGGAGACACTTGAATGCGGAAACTGCTTCCTCCCCGCAGGATCGAGGAGCAAGGTTTTCTATCGCCCTCAGAGCTGGGATGGGAACCAGGGCCTCACACCTGCTGGGCAGGTGCTCTGCCACTGAACTTCACCCCCAGCCCTGGGCCCCACATTTTATGAGGTCTAGGAGCACAGCAGGGATTGCAGGAATGGAATGATGTCAGGTGGGTTGGGGACTGACGGTGACCCAAGGGTGGCGCAGGTGTCTGGGCTTCCAGACCTCTTCTGCACGTCTTTATTAAGCCCGTGCTGTGATCTGAATGTTTGTGTCCCCTCCTATAAATTCTTGTGTTGAAGCCTACTCAGCCTGGTGTTGGTATGGGAGATGGGGCTTTTGCTGGGGGAATTACTGCACGAGGGCCCTACCCTGGTGAATGGGACTAGTGCCTTTATTTTTTTAATTTTTTTTTTTTTGTGTCTTTTTGAGACAGGGTCTCACTATGCAGTTCAGACTGGCCTTGAGCTCACTTTGTAGCCCAGGCTGGTCTCGAATTCGCAATGATCGTCCTGCCTCAGCCTCCAGAGTGCTGGAATTACAGGCGTGGGCCACCATGCCCAGCTTGACTAATGCCTTTATAAAAGAGGTTCCAAGCTGGGTGTGGTGGCACATGCCTGTAATCCCAGTACTCAGGCTGAGCAGGGAGGTGGCAAAGCTAATTTAGTAATTATTAATAATTATTACATCTATTAATTACTAATAGATATCATCTACTAATTATGAACCATTGCATCTGTTAATAAATAATATATCTAAAGCCGGGCGTAGTGGCGCGTGCCTGTAATCCCAGCACTTGGGAGGCTGAGGCAGGAGAATCGTTGTGAGTTCGAGACCAGCCTGGCTACAAAGTGAGCTCAAGGCCAGTCTGAACTGCACAGCGAGACCCTGTCTCAAAAAGACAAAAAAAAAAATCTATATATATCTCTATATATCTTTTCTCAGCCTGCGCATGGCAAATTTACTTTCCCATTGAACAAGTATGTACTGTACAGGGTCCCCCAGGTTCCCCCCGCCCCCCCCGCAAATCCCCTGCGACTTGGGAGTCCAGGTGGGCCACCTGTGCTGTTTCAGAGGCGGCAGTAGAGGGCGCTGTGGGGGCCCGCGAGCTGCACACCAACTCCGTCCCAAGGCCTTAGTGAGGGTGAGACCCGGTCTGCAGATCAGTGGAAAGGAGAGAGAGACGGGTTTGCCGAGAAGCGACCCAGACGCTAAGGAAGGCCCGGTGCCCGCAGTCCCGAGTGAAGCGGGCAGCAGCGGGGGCCGGACTGACCCAGCAAACAGAGGCCTTGCTGGGCAGAGCTCTCCAGGAAAGGCTGGGGATTTTGACCCCTCCTGGGGGGTGCTGTCAGGCAGAGCAGGAGCCCCTCCGCCCCGGGTGCCCGGTGGATGGGTGGCTCCTGCAGCCGCCGCAGGCTAGACAAGGGGGCCTTCTGTGGGGTCTCAGAGACGTGACAGATTTCGGGTCTCTAGGACGTTGTAAGGGATTTGATGGGGAGGGAGGGAGGGGACGGGATCAATAAGACTCAGACTGGGAAGAATAAGAGGGTCTAGATTTCTATGCAGGCTCTGTCGAGGGGCAGTCCTGCCATTCCATGGCATCAGACGCAAAATACATTTGGAGCAGGGGTCGTAGGAACACGTGGAAACTGCCCTCGGGTGCTGAGGTGTGGCAGATCGTATTGCTGTCCGCAAGAGCTGCTCTCCCTCCGAAAGGGTCCCCGTGGACGGCAGAACTGGGCCCCTGACCCGCCTCAGCCGCCGAACCGTGCAGGCAGGGCACACGCGTCCCAGCCGGCCACGTTTCCCTTCGCTCCTCCAGGGCAGGGGGAGCAGGGACGGGGCCCTGGGCCCAGGACGGCAGCAGGGACGGCGGCTAGGAGCTAGGCCCGGAGCACCGAGGTTATGGGATGGAGACCAAGAGCCCTCCGTAGTGGGGGGTAACTGACATCTCTAGCAACTGTACATGACCAAGCTGGCCACTGGGGTGGGACTGTGCGTCCCCCACCCTCTGCCCAATTTGTACCAATCCCGTACCTCAGAATTTAGATCAGTATTGAGATAAAGAGGTTTTTTTTGTTTTGTTTTGTTTGGTACCAGAATCAAACTCAGGACCTTGCACTTGCCAGGCAGGTGCTGTGCTGCTGAGCTATTTTTCCGACCCTGAGATAGGGTCTTTACACAAATATCAGATTAGTGTAGGTCTTAACCCAATGACTGGCACCTTTTTTGTTTGGTTGGTAGTACTGGGGACTGAACCCGGGGTTTTTACCCTGAGCTGCATCACAAGCTCCTTCTTAAAACTTTTTGTTTATATTAAGTAAGGGTCTTGTTAAGTCACTCAGTTGCCCAGGCTGGCTCAAACTTAGGATACTCCTGCTTCAGCCTCCCAGTGTGCTGGGATTACAAGTGTGTGCCACCAGACCCCCTGCCCCACTAATGATTGGTGTCCTTATAAGAGAAGTTTGGACACTGACAATGTGAAGAGACACAGGCAGAAGAGGGCCATCTAGAAGCCAGAGAGAGGCCTGGAGCAGATCCCTTCCTCATGGCCCTTGGAAGGAACCTGCCCACACCTTGTCTTTGGACTTGCTGTTAAAGCCACTCTGTCTGTGGTGCTTTGACATAGCAGCCCTTGCTAGCTAGCACACTGGCTTAGGTGCACTGGTAGCAAAGTGACCATCTCCCCCTTCAGGAGCTCCTCCTTCTTCCTTGGTCTCAGTCCTTGCCAAGGAATGCAGGAGGAAGGAGGGTCTGGCAGTGAACTTCTCCTTTTACAATAAATCAGGCTGGCCACGCAGGGCATTGTGGGCCACATTCCTATTGGGTCCCAAGAGTTTGAAGCTTCCTGTAAGGCTGCTGAGCCATGGCCTCAGCGGGTGATCTGCATATCACAACAGTCTCAGTCTGTTTTCTATTGCTATAATAAAATTCCCGAGGCTGGGTAATTTGTTTTTTTTTTTGAGACAGGGTCTCGCTATGCAGTTCAGGCTGATCTTGAGCTCACTTTGTAGCCCAGGCTGGTCTCAAACTCTCAAAGATCCTCCTGCCTCAGCCTCCCAAGTGCTGGGATTATATGTTTGCGCCACCCCACCTGGCAAGGCTGGGTAATTTAGAAAGGAGAGGTTTATTTAGCTCAGAGTTCTGAAGATTCCAGGGTCTGACACCAGCACTGGCTCAGCTCCAGTGAGAAGCTCCTGGTAGGTGACACTGCAGTGGTGGAATGTGTGAGACAGGAGCCAGTGTGAGATTCAGAGAGAGGCTTTCTCCTTCATAACAACCCTCTTCTCTGGGCATGGCGGTGCACACCTGTCATCTCAACACTCTGGGAAGCTGAGACAGGAGAATCACAAGTTCAGATCCAGCCTGGGCAACTTAGTAACTTAGTGAGACCCTGTCTCAAAACACACACACACACATACACACTCCAACAACAAAAAACAGGCTAGGGTTATGGTTTAGTGCAAAGGCCCTGGGTTCCGTCTTTAATACCTCAAAACCAAAAATACAACCCTCTGTTGAAAAGTAACTGGGGTCCGGGGATAGAGCTCAGCAGCACAAGCTCCTGCCTGGTAAGCACAAAGTCCTGAGTTCGATTCCCAATACAAAAAAAAAAAAAAAGAAAGAAAGAAATGAAAATAACTGGGCTCCCCTGAGAACGCATCTCTTCTGAGGCTGATACCCTCAAAGAGCTGAGGATTCCTGATACACGCCCCCCACCCCGCCTTAAAGGTACTGCACTTCCCAGTATCCCCACACTGAGAACCAAGCTTGGGGAACAAACCTTGCACAAGTCACAACCGTATCAAAGCCACAGAAGGCCTGGAGACGGCCCTGCAGGGTCACGCGGCTTGCAACTGCAGGCACTGGGGAAGGAAAGGAGGGGACAGGACTGCAGCTCAAGTGCTAAAGCAGAGGCAGCCTCGCATGTGCTTTTATTTTATTTTATATTATTTTTGAGGCATGGTCCTGCTATGTAGCCCAGGTTAATCTCGAACTTGTGGCAATCCTCCTCCTTCAGCTCTCCAAATGCTGGCCTTAGAGGTGTGAACTACTGTGCCCAGCTGCTGAGGGGGTGGGAGAAAGAAGGAGTGAGAGAGCTCCATATCACTTTCTTAACCATGTAATTACACAAGCTTAGAGGCCTATTTATTTATTTAGTGGCACTGGGGACTGAGCTCAGAGGCACTGAGCTACATCCCCAGCCCTTTTTTATTTTTTATTTTGAGACACTGGCTTCAAACTTGTGATCCTCCTGTCTCAGCCTCCAAGAGTGCTGGGGTTATAGGTACATGCTCCCATGCCAGCTTTAGTGGCCTTTAAAGTTAAGAAAAAGCTTAGTAAAATCTATTTTTTTATTATCTGATCTGATTTTATAAATCATCTTTAGTTTTCCAACCAACATATGCTTTTCATTTATAGAATTCAGTGAAAGCTGTTTAAAGCCATAAGAAGAATTCAACTATAAATATCTTTACAGCAAAGAAGCTTCACATGTTTCACTAGCACTGGGAATATTCTTTCTTTTTTTCTTCTCTAGGTGTCAGAAACTCTAGAACAGTAAATACTGTGTAATTCAAAAATACATTTGCTTTGAGATTTTCTTTGGCCTTCAAACCCAGCTAACATTTAACCAATTGGAAACTAATTCCTAGTCTTAAAAGGAAGTACATAGTCTGATCGTGTATTTTCTCTAAGAAAAGGGTTTATGTGCATTTCGTTCAGACAAGGGACTCGTATATTCAAGGCACAGATTTTGAGGATATGATTTGCTTTAGGAAATCCAAAGATTTATGCATTTCTGGAACATAAAGC